TACATGTTATATTTTTTTGCTTTGTTTATTTACAAAATAAAATATTTCAATTTTTTTTTAACAAATTTGTTGTCATCTTTTCAGTTTTGAATTAGATGTTCGATTATTTGAGATTTTTTTGTTGGTAATATTAGTTCAAACTAACTCAGCGGGTTTAAAAATTAAAAACCCAAACCAAAAACTGAAAATGAAAAGTAGAAACTTAAAAACTAAAAACTAAAAACCAAAATCTAAAAATAAAAACTGAAACTAAAAACTAATGAAAAATAATCATCACCACAAATTTTGGTGAACTGATTTTATATCAAAATATTCTTTAAAATAAGACAAAACTCAATTATATACATTTTTAATCATAAAAAATTTCCGCGCTTTTAAGCGCGGGTCAAAATCTAGTACATATTAAACTAATGTATATTTAACTATATGAAGTATAAGTAATGTATGATAATATCCTTCAATTTAATGATGTTATGTAGTTAACATAACGATCCTAGTTTCATTAATTCAAAAAGTGATGTGGATGTTAGAAACATTAACTCCTTGTAATTCTCTTGTTTGATCAATCAAAATCGGACTCACCAATCATAACTAGAAAAATCAGTGTTTCAATTTAAATCAGTGAAAAAGACAGGAAGTTGCTGAGATCATATGAAGTTATTGACCAAAATAGCGAGAGAAGTTAATCAACCCTGAAATCTATTAACACCTCTCTATCTCTTTTTCGAATTGGTCTATAACCCCCACACGATTTTATCAAATCATTTTTTTCTCTCACCAATTTGAATTTAAACTAATTTTTTTGGAGTTTTCTCTTTTGTCGCGACAAAGAAACTACGGCTCTTAGATTTTTTTTTTTTTTAAATGGGCTGGTTTTAAAATTTGTGATCAAAATTCATTTTATTTTATTGAGCTGGGTGGGTCAAAATTACATTATGGTTGGATGTGTCAGATTTTAATTGATCAACACAAAAATCAAACAGAGTTTCCAATGTCTACGTCATTTTTTGGATTAATGAAATTAAAATCGTGATGTTAACTAATAACATAACAATGGTGATGATTGGTTCGACTGTAACTTTATTAATTTAGTTTTACAAGTTAAACTAGAGCCGGACCCGTCCGACCGGACGGGTATTTATTTCATTTTTATATAAACGAATATTATTTAAATGTCTATCCGTTAATATTTTTAAATATTTATCATATTTCTAAATTTTTATAAACATAACGATCGAATAGTTTATGTGCTGTAAAAATAGTGATTTGTGTTCATTATTAAACTTTTGAAAATTAATATTGACCTATTGATAGTCTGAATAATATTTCTTGTAACATGAAATTGTTTGCCAAATGTAAAAAGAATTTAAATAATTTGATCAGATATGGATAATATGGTAAGATTTAGATACGTTATAAAAAAGAATATTTGGTTATAAACATTAAACATTGTTTCGCAAGTAATTCAATATTTCAATTTCAGTATTAAATTTTCTTGTTGAAAATAATTAATAGCAACCAAAATGGTAAAACATATATTTTAGAAATTCTTGAAAAATATATAATATTAGGTGAGATTTAATTATATTAAAATAATATTCAGTTACAAATAGTTCATGTTGTTTATAAGTAGTTTAAATATATTTAAAATCTTATTGTTCAAAATAATTAATGCTAAGTTAAACAAATATTTTAGGAATATTCATAATATTTTTAAATTTCGAATTTAAACTTGAATTTTGTTCAAAATAATTAATGGTAATGTTATACAAATTTAATATTGTTAAAATCGATTTTAAATATGAATATTCCTAAAAATCAGCTAATTTATTTTAGGGAATATATTAAACACGAAAATTAAGCAAAAATTCATTTAGGAAATTGTTTAATAAATATGAAAAAACAATGATTACTTACATATAAGTTCATTTAATTACTTCAGTGCCATGCTATTGTAAATAAAAGTGAAATCTAAGAGGTATTTTATATGGGTACTTCTCTTTTAATAATATAGATGTATGTAAGTCAGTTATAGTTGTAAAATTGTTGCTGCGTATTTTTACGTAGAGACTTTTGCTATAGTTAAATTTGTTGTAACTGTAAGTTATAAACTGTAGATATTTTAAGAGAAAACTAGAATTAGACCCGCACGTACGTACGGATATATTTATCATTTCATATACATTAAATATTATTGTTAAACATGTGATTTACATTTCCTTGTTACATTAGTTTAACTTTATTATCTTATTGTTTAGGTTTTTTTATTGAACATTGTGATATGATTGGTGTGCTCGTTCGTGTTTAAATCATTTTAGTAAATTACGGTATTTCAAAAATAAATATATTATTTTGTTTAATTAACTTAGCCATATTGTTTTGGTAAAAATATATATAATAGCTTCTATGAGTTGTTCAAAAAAAAAAAAGCTTCTATGAAACTATTTTAATTAAGATATCGATATAAGATATTTTGATTGTTATTATATTAAATTCTCTGACTTTTGTTATTAAATTAAAATTTCAAAATATTATATTATTTTATATTTTTATACAATACTATTCGTTTTTCATGTTCCATTTGAAAATATTACACTTTAGCATCTATAATTTTATTTTTTTAGAAAATCTAAAATATTTTTATTTAAAATTGAGAACACTTATTTTTAAACTTATATATTTGGTCAAGAATTGTTTTGAAAAGTACATAAATATTTTTGAATTTTATGAGTTTGATTTTTTTTGTTAGTAACTTAATGTATTATTTAATAAAAATATTTAGAATTTTTGGTAAAATATGTAAATATTTCTGAAAACATTTTTTTTTATAATTAAAAACCTTATTTGTAGTTAAAATATATTTCTCATTAATATCTTTGAATTATTTAAAAATAATATTATATTTTGTAAATAACGTATGTACTTAAAGTTAGTTATATACTATTACATTTTGTATATAATTACTTTATACAATATCTTGTTGTGATATTAAACTTATATATATATATATATATATATATATAGTTGTAGACTTGTAGAAATAAAAGTTTAAGATATGCTAACATTTTGTATAAAAATATGAATATTTATAAATTTTAATCATTTTAAATGGTGAATGATAGTTTATTTATAATTGATGTTCGATTAAATGCAAGCATTGTTGAGATCAACTAAATTAATTTATCAATATTATATAACTTTGTTTTATTTAATTCATATAGTATTCATGTTTTCATATAATATGGACTATAGTTATTGAATTTATAAAAATATAATTTATTTTATTATTTCTGTTTTATAATAAAAATTTTATTACTATTAGTGAGTAATAATATTATATTAATACGAAATTAGTCATTTTATTATTGTAGAAAATATTTCAAAAAAAATAAAAAGATTTTGTTAGAGTTTTTTAAACAGATTTGTTATCTATAATAAAATACAACTTCAAATAGTAGATAAAATGGTCCATAATTTAAGCACCAATTAACAAATTTGAAAGTGTCCAAATTTTAAAACACAACTTCAAGCAGTAGATAAAATTGAGGATCCTAAATTAATAGATTAGATATGTGATGTATATATAAAAAAAATATTTTTATCAATTAAAAAAATTCATATTAATATTTTTTATAAAATTATCAAGTTTAGAGTTACTTAAAATGTGATATGTAAATAATATTTATGTAATTTAGAATATTTTCATAATTTTAAAAACACCCAAAACTAAATTAAAATATCTATAGATGTTTTTAATTATGAGTATCAAATTTATTTGATATTATAGATATTTTTTTAATTTTATAGATTTTATAGCATATAAAGATAGATTTTGAGTTTTTATTTAAAACACATAAGAAAAAAATATTTTTTTTTGCTGCAGCTTTAAAAGTAAAACTAAAACATGATTGGTTTAAATTAACAGAAATTTGATGTAGTATTTATCATTTAAAAATAAAACTACAACATAATTAGCAAAGTTTAGTATTTTAATACCAAATAAAACTTAGCACAAAGAACTCTTTAACATGTTCCAAATGTAAAGCACCACGTAGTTAATTATTTGCGATATTTTCAGCCTTATTTTAGTCTACAGTGAACTTGTAAATTTTTTTAATGTGACACATCGTCATGACATTTGTTTGCAAACTTTTGCAAAATAAGTATGTTCATTCTGATTCAAACTATCATGACTATTTTTACCAAAATTGTAGATGATAGTTTCTTGTTTTAGTTGTTTCAGATCCAAATTTAAAGAAACATGGGAGAAAATATACAGAGATTTGTTACTAAACAAGGCGGAGTCCTTTCCATACGTGTCTAACTTTGCATGCATTCCAAATATTCGAATATACTATACTATATAGTGATAGAATTGTTTATAAAATAAGGAAAGCAGAGACTGTATATTTGTGATTCACCTCCCTCCTACGTGTACTAGTCTCTGTTCTTCAATCTCTCTGCGTCTAACCTAAGGTTTATTCCCTTCTTCTATTATCTGTCCCTCTCTACAAATCATTTTATTCCTTCTCAATTTTTTTTTTATTATCTTTAAAGAGATCATCCTCGCCCTTCTTTGATCTCCGACGGTCTTCTGTTCATTCTTTTGGGTTTTGCTTGATAATCTTGGTTCTGTTCTGTGAAACCCAACGTGGGTTTTATCTTTTTCATATTAAGTTTTAAACTTATTTGCTTTTTTGATCGAGAGTGTGTTGAAAGCCAGAAACAGAGCTTTTTGTGCATTGTGATCTAACATTTCTGGTACACTTTGATTTTCTTAAGTTGATCATCTTATGCGTTGTTTTTTGTTATGTTTTGTTTGTGTGTGTCTGTGTTAATGTGATCAGAGCATCTCTGTTTAGTTCTCTAGTCTAACAGAAACACACTTCAAGTTGTTTGATTGTAATGCACCAGGGTCATGATTTTGGGATGCTGTGGTTGTGTGTTTTTAGAGTTGAGGGATGTCTCTGATCATCATTTTTTGTTGCTAGCTAGAGTTAATGGAGGGAAACTGGAATCCTAACGAACAAGGCAGAGACTCGCTTGCCAATAATTGGAGATCAACGCATGAGCCTGATCTAAGGAAAAGAGTTATTTTTGCAATGTAAGACTTCTTGCCTCAGAACACAAATTAATTGTTATATGATCATTGATTCTAATTGACATTCGTGAAAGAGAGAATGCTTCTTGAAAAAAGGGATCATGCTTTAGCTGTGATCTTGAAAGCTCAGACATGATAATGATTCCTACGTTACACCAGCAAACTCTTATCATAATTCATTATTGACGTGACAAAACTCTTATTTTTTGGCATATTATTTGCGCAAACCATTAGTGATATATTCTCTTTTGTTTTCATGTATGTGTAGAGTGGAAAAATTGAAGATATGTTTTCCTAACCATAGCCAAAATGATATTAACAATACCGCTTTCAAATTTGAGGACGTGATCTATGGCATGGCCACAGATAAGGTATACTCAAATACAAATGGTTTCTATCTATTACCTTCAGCCTTGTGAAGATACTTGTTGAATCTTTTTTTTTCCTATGTCTCAGAGTGATTACTTGCGGAAAATCAGTGAAAAGATATTGGTTTTCGACCAAAAATTCAGAAGTGTGCAATCTGGTTCTTCAGTCAATGTACCTAAAACTAATCAAGATCCAGGTAATAAGTAGTTGTTTTGGTTCCACTATATAATATTTAGCATTTCTGCATTGGACTAGAACTTGTCTTTTTGGTGTGTCTATTACCTGAAACAGATCATATGATGTAAGAACTCATATCCTGTGTCTAGAACAGGGTCGGCCCTGAGCTTATGGGGTCCTGTGTCTATTTCTATTTAAAAAAATTTATGAGGACCTAAAAAAAATTTTAGAGGCCTATATTTATGTAATTTTTTTCAAATATTTTGGGAACCTATAACGAATGTTTCACTTATCATGGTCCATAGTCGGTCCTGGTCTAGAATCTAGAACTGGTTTCAGAACATATAAGTTACTGAAACGTTCTTACAACTTTAGCTTACCTGGTTTTCATTTGATGCCTTTATAGGTACAGCAGCACAAGCTCTGAATCAAGGGGAATCACTTCCCACCTTGTTGCCATACACACAGACTCCAACAAGCCAACAGTGGTTTCATCAAAACAACAATCATGAGTCTTCTGGCTTCTCCACTCAAGTCCCTATAACCGCTGCTCAGAGCCTAAACATTCAAATGGGTGAAGGAGTTCATTCAAATCTTCTTCTTAGCGGTTCTCAAAGACAGACTCAGGGAAGGCATCAGTTTTGTTCTCAGCCTCAACAGCAGCCACAGAGTTATAAAGACATGTTTCAATGCCAAGTGGATCAACAGTTTCAGAAAGAGAATACCCATCACTTACAACCTTCTTACACACAGCAGCAGCAGCAGCACCACCAGCAAAGTCTATTACAACAACCTGTTCAGCAGCAAATGACTCATCACACATCATTGGCTACTATTCAGCAGTCCTTTCCTCAGACTTCTGCTCACTCTAGTCTAACATCATCAGGCCAACAAAACTCTCAGTTCTTGCCAAGACATCAGTTTCCAACACAGAGAGTCCATTCTAGCCATCAACAGCAGATGCATGTGCCGTTCCAGGAACAGAAACAGCAAGAACACATGCAACTCATGAGTCAACTGATGAATGGTCAAGACACCCTGCAGAATCATCTAACATCACAACCAAACAACTGGGAGCAACAACAAGGAGCTTTTACATTATCGTCCTCCCAGCAGAACAACATTTACAGCTTTCAAGAAATGGCCCAACAGAAAAATAACCTCCAAGATATGTACCAGCAACAACACCTATACTCTCACAGTAATAATCCTTCAGTCTTTCCCTCACAGCAGCAGATGTATATGCCTAGCTGTCAATCTGGTAACTTCAGCGCAGGCCAAGTGGTGGGACAATCTCAACCAATGATGCTACAACAATACCAACCGCAACACCAGCAGCCTCAGAATAGAATCTTTCAGCATGATACACAAAGGTTTCAAGCAGCAGGTTGTTTGCACCAAACCATGAACTAGCATCACTGTACAATTTTCATGAGTTATATTTTTAAATTCAAATATTTTTTTTTGTAGCATCTCAAGATTATACAGGCAAGACTGCAAATGCTAATGGTGGGGACTGGCAGGAGGAGACCTATCAGAAGGTATGTTTTCTCACCTTGGTTCTTAACATATTAACATCACAAACATGAAACCATGTTTCATTCATCCTATGAAATTTATCAATTGTCTGCAGATAAAGGCCCTCAAGGATAAGTATTTGCCTGTTCTAAGTACACTGCTCCAAAAAGTATCTAACAAATTACAGGAGGTAACTTCAGACATAACATAAATGCTTCAATCTGGTATTTCTTGTCTTAAAATATATATTTTTTTTAATTTCCAGGTTGATTCTCTTCCTCAACAAAAGATGCAACATGACCCTTTTGAAAAGCTAAGAGCGGGCAAGTCAACGTTGGAACTACTTATTATGTTCTTAAATGTCGGTAGGGACAGTATATCAGAGAGTCACAGAAACAACTTTGGTATGTACGAGGAGCAGGTATTGAGGTTCACCAAGAATCATCACCAGACCATGACTCAGACAAGTGGTCATGATCAAGTCCATGTGTCCCAGTCTCATGACAATGATCAAATGAATATCACTCCAGCTCGGTCTAGTGTGTTTCATCATAAGCACTTTCATCATCTCCAGATGCAACACCAGACCCTGCAGAGGCAGCAGCAGCATCAGATACAGAACCAATCTTCTCCTCAGTTGGTGAACCAAAAGATTCTTCCTACAACATTTCACAACACAGGAACCCCATCACAGTCTCCTGACTCGCCTTTTTTTGCTCCTTCTCCAAATCTTGGGGATCTTGAAAAGCCCATATCTGTAGACTCCCAACTCTATACAACAGCTCAGGAGCAGCCTATTGATCATCTGAGAAAAGCTGTGAGTGAAGTCATATAACGTTTTGTTTCTTCACCTTATCCACTTTACTGATCCAAACTGTTTAACATGTGTGTGGCTTGTTAGTTTCAAACTGATAGCTACAAACAGTTCTGTAGCATGGAATCTGAAGCTGATTCCACCGCATCATCAGGCTCTAAAGTTCACAAGATTGAGGTAAGTTCTGGCTTCATTAATTGATCAAACCTTCAGTATCAAAATAAGACTAATTTTTCTAAATCTTGCAGACTGGTTGTGCCCTCCTGCAAGAAATCAAAGAGATAAATGGGAGTCTTGTAGAGACAATGTTAAACATATGTAATGAAGATGTTTCAGGAATAGTTGTGACTTGTTCTTATTCCCCTTTGGCTCTCAGTGACACACTTGAAGCTCATTACAAGTCAGGACAAGTCGTAAGTCTCTTTAAACTAGTTTCCAATCTTCTTTGTCTGCTCTTTACTCAGATACTTATGTCTCCATGCTTTGATGTAGTCACAGATTCAGCCGTTACGCTTACTAGTTCCTGTGAATTATCCATACTCCCCTATACAAATTCTCGAGAAAGTCCCATCTGACACTAGGTAAGAAAATCATTTAGTAGAAACTGATTGACTGATGACAAGTTTGATCTTATGGGTTTTATTTCATTGTGTTTCAGTTTACAAAAATATGATGATTTATCTGCGAGGACCAGATCGAGGTTTAGCTTGTCCATGAAGGAGTTTTCAGAACCGTTGTCTCTTAAGGAAATAGCTCAAGTTTGGGATGGTTGTGCAAGAGAGACGATGGCCGAGTTCGCTGAGCAACATGGTGGAAGCTCTTTCAGCTCCATGTATGGTCACTGGGAGTCTGTTCTAGGAGCTTCCTGATCCCTAATTTAGGTTTTCTTCTTTGACTTGTGGTAGAAGAAATATCAATATGTATGTTTATAATTTTGGACAAGTGCATAATGTTTCCATGTGAGTCTGTCTGGCTCCACATATANATGGCCGAGTTCGCTGAGCAACATGGTGGAAGCTCTTTCAGCTCCATGTATGGTCACTGGGAGTCTGTTCTAGGAGCTTCCTGATCCCTAATTTAGGTTTTCTTCTTTGACTTGTGGTAGAAGAAATATCAATATGTATGTTTATAATTTTGGACAAGTGCATAATGTTTCCATGTGAGTCTGTCTGGCTCCACATATACTTACAGATTATATTTAGACTTTTACATCAACTCAATTTAGATTTTCTATTCATTTAAAAGATGATTTATCTTGCCTAGTCTAACAGAGTAAAATTTCATAAGCAAATTTGTATAACGTTCAAGATTAGCATGCGCAAGATTTGAGTTTTTTTTCCTCACTGAAAACTCTTTGATTCTAAGTTTCTAACTAACTCAAACCAAGACTTAAGACATGTTTAAACTTTTTTATTATAGAACTTTAAACAAAAGATGATCTGCTACTAGCTATCACAATACAAAAATAAGGCATTTCCAAACTAAATTCAATTTGTTTAAGTATTATAGTAACACTTATGATAAGCATTACAGTAACATGTATTTTGTTACAGTGAGATTTTTTTTTTTTTTTTTTTGCTTAAACAATGAGATTTGTTTAAGGATGATTAATTGCTATTGTACCCTCCTCCATCATCCACCGAGCAAATGACTAGCTAGTTCACAGGAGGTCATTCCCTTTCCTAAAGTCACTAGTGACTCGGTTGAATTGTTTCTCCCACTACAAGTCTACAACTGTATTGGAGACCTGTTCTATGGACACTTTTCTCCCCCAAATATAACATCCCTTACAATATTTATTTAAAATTTCATCTAACCAAAAAAATGTAATATTTATTTCTAACAGTACAACATATTAATTATCTTTTAAATAATTGCATAATGTATCGCTTAGAAAATTATTGTGTAATCATAACCACATAAAGTCCTATAGAGTAAATGTTTAGTATATGCCACTAACCAATATATTATCAGGTGCTTTCAAAGAAAATGTTACCTGGTGAATGTTCGAACATGTATGCAGAACTTTGAAATTACTGACTATGTTTAGTTATAAAAAGAGCCACAGTTCAGTGTCCTATTCTATACATACTCTATCCATGTCTGCCCATTACAATAGATAAGATTTTCGTCAGTGACGTAAAATATATTTTAATGTGCGGTCCTAGCCCTTGGTTCCTTGTCTCACGGATCTGGTTTAGTGTTAGGTTTATCCTTTTTAGATAGAAAATGTTAGGTGAAACCTGCACTCGGTCGGGACTTAAAAATGCATTCCTTGTGAGCTAAACAATCGGTACACCTAATTGTTTTGCTTTACTTGTATTCCCAAACAAAATATAATTATTTGATTCTATTTTGTTGATGATAATCATATGATAGACTCACCAATCTATTAGATCAAGACACAATGACATGCCAATTGTTTCAATTTCACATATAAACATTTAGATCTATGATATTTGTGATTTTGTGTATGAAAGATAAAGTTAAATGCCTATGTAAACATGATGCATGTAAAACAATATTTTGGATTCTTGCAAGTAAAAACAACCATCGATTAAAAATCTAAGAGCATATTTATTGTAGATTCCTTAAATTATCTCTTTTATCATATGGTCACTTAATTTTTAAATAAATAAAAATACTAAACGATGTCTTTTAAATTTTTTATTTAAGAAACGTCCTTTAGTTTTTTTAGTTAAAAAAATTGTAGATCAAGACACTTTGCATATAGGTATATTACTAGATCTCAAACAGAGAAATTCATAAAACCCAGAAAAAGATTTAATTTACCAATCCATCATTAAATAAAGAAACAAAAATATCCATCTCATGTTTCTTCAAACACAAACCAACCTGCACACCACCGGACCTATCTCTCCTCTCCGACATAGAGAACGCTTCATTCCTATCAATAGATACAAACTCAGTATTAACCGGGTTCCCCCACCCAAAATCCGAACCATACAACCCAAACCGGTTCGAACCGGCAATAGTCCCAAGCTGTGTACCCGGTTTAACTCTCTTCTTTCCTTCCACATACAACTCACAAAGTTCCTCAATCCCTAGTAAACTCAAACCTTTAACCGAATCTCCAAGAATCTCAACAGCTTTAACAAACCCATCTTCTCCCAAAAACGTCTTAGCTTCGTGTCCAAAGCAACCAATAGGGAACACACAGTTCCCTACGTAAGTCTCATGAACCGGCGGGTCTAACCGGTTCCTAAAATCCGCAGCATACATGAGACGAACCGGTCTTTCTCCATGACCTCCACGCGTCTTCAACAAACACGTCCACATGTAGGCGTAAGCCAAAACGAACGTGGACAAGTAAAGATCAGCACAAGCGCGTGTTGACTCGTTCTTAGCTCGAACCTTAAGCTTCTCAACGTTTTCACGAGTCAACTCAAGCGTGATCCTGAATATGTCGTGGCCTATCTCTCCAGCTTGAGGGATCTTGAGGGTTCTTTCACCTTGAAGCTCCAACATCTTGGCTTCAAGACAAGAAGGAACGTTGATGATCGTGCGGTCTAAACGAGGAGTTAAATCATCCGGTAATAATATGTTTCCATGTGTTTGTGATTTACATATGTAAGCCCATGATTTATAAAAATTCACCACCGTTTTACCGTCCATGACCGCATGGTTTGCGGTTATGCCGATGGAGAGCCCTTGGTTAGGGAACAAGGTAACTTGTAAAGAAAGGACACGTGGCGAGTCACAAGAGGCTGGAAACTCTTGGACTAGGGAACGTGTCTCCTTAGCAAGACGTATTCCCTTGCCTGAAATATTGGTGAAATCTGCGTTGCTTTCAGAGATTGTCAACGAGACAGTGTCGTGTGGGGACACGACGATGCACGGCTTAGGATCTTGAGGGTTCCAAGTGACGTGGCCCGCGAGGGGGAGGAAGTGACCGAGGACAAGAGAAAGAGATGTCTCGAGTTTGGGGATGATCACGGAGTAGAAGAAGTCGCGTGATGATGATGATGAGTCGGTGAGTTTGTAGAAGACGACTTGTTGTACAGAATCTTTTAGCCATTTTAGGTCGAAGAAAGTGAGTGGGACAACGAGTGGGTCAGAGAATGAATCTGTGGAGGGGCTGATATGGGAGATCTTGATAACATTTAGCACCATGGTTGATGATGAATGAAACTCTCTTCTTTTTTTATTTTATTTTTTTCCAAACAATGATGAATGCAAAGTTATAGCAGCATCTCTATTCTTATCATAGAAATCTAAAAGAGTCTTTCCAACAAAAAGTAAAAGTATTTGTTTAAATAAATTTAATTATATAATTACTTTTTAATTTAAAACAGAGTTAGCATGCAAGGAGTTTGGGATTTAAAGTTATTTCACTGAAAAGATTTTGAATAGAAGAAAAGAACTAATGACACAAAATTATAAAATTATTTAGTAAATATATTTTAAATATGATAACCAATAACAGTAAAAATGAAAACACTAGATTATAAAACCTGTATAATTTATTTTAGATCCACTATCCATTAACATCCTCTAAAGAGAGTTTTTTCAACAAAAACTAAAAGTATTATTTTAATAAATTAATTATATAATATCGTTTTAATTTAAAACAGAGTTAAATGCTAGGAGCTTGGGATAAAGACAATCAGATGTGAGGCTGATTCCAGTCAACTATATGCTTGCATCACGAAGAAAGCTCCATTTCCAGAACTATAAGGAATCGTGTCCGACATCATGAATCTCGTTTCAAAGTGTGAGAACATTTATTTTGGTTGGACTTGAAGAGAGCAAAATATAGTTGCTGATGATTGATGAATATGGCTAAGCAAAGCTTTGTATCGAATGAGTATGTTACGCACCTGCATTGATTTATAAGAGGGCTCTTTCTATTATAATAAAACAAATGAAAGTTGATGAAATAGAAGAGACAAAAGAAGGAAAGAGAAGAGATGTAGTCCCTAAAAAAATTGAGGGACTGCCTTGAATCTTGGAAATTTCTTATTGGCCTATATTTAGTTTATTTAGAATTTATATTAGTTTTAACTTATACTAGATCTTGACCCGTACAACCGTGCGGGTTATCGTTTTACTTATAGTTTATAAAACAATTATCAATAAATAATAATATATTTACTTATCAAATTTCGCAAAATATTAAAATAATAGATGTTAAAGTATCATATTTAAGACAACATGAAAATATAAATTATCATTAACAAATATTTATCTATAGTATATCTAAATAAATATTAAAATATATTGTATGCAAATTGCAGAAACTAAAATTCTATATCATAGAAGATTATATTTTAATTATTTCAGATTATAATTTATGTAGCAAACTCAAAAATATATTAGTAAGTAATAACAATCAATAAGAATATAAATTAAAATATATAAAAATTACTATATATTAATAATGACAAATAAGAAACTTAAACAACAAAATTATAGAGGTATATAATATATAACATTAAATGTAAATCATATATTAAATCTTTTTATAATACTATCAAAGTGTTATATTTATAAAATGAAAAAAAAATTGTGTGGGTCAAAATCTAGTATATAGTATTTTTTATTTACGATTTAGGAATATATAGTGCAATCTACATAAATTTTAATATCTTAAACAAAAAAATTTGTATTTCAAATAAAAGATAAAGATATGGGTAATATTATGGAAAGACAATTTAAAAAGATGCCAAAAAGATTTTGTTGGATTTATTTCATTTGTGTTTCAAATAGAAAGATAAAGATATTTAAGGATATTATCATTAAATTATATAACATTTGATAATCTTCATAATCTTTCTAAGAAATAGTTCATTTTTCTAAAAATCACACATGAATCAAGGTTGTGACTTCTGTTTTAATATATAAAACTAGATCTTGACCCGCACAACCGTGCAGGTTTTTTATCTATTTATAATTTATAAAAATTATCAATAAAATAATAATATATTTATTTATTAAATTTTGCAAAATACTAAAGTAATAGATGTTAAAGTATCATTTTTTAAACACAACACGAAAATATAAATTATCATTAACATATATTTATCTATAGTATATCAGATATCTAAATAAATGTTAAAATTTATTGTATGCAAATTGTAGAAACTAAAACTTTATATTAAAAAGATTATATATTTGATTATTTCAGATTATAATTTATGTATCAAATTCCAAAATATATTAATAAGTAATAACAATCAATAAGAATATAAATTAAAATATTTAAAACAAAATACTATATATTAATAATGAAGAATAAGAAACTTAAACAAAAAATTATAAACTAATATAATATATATAGTTAAATGTAAATCATATATTAAAATTTTTACAATACTATAAAAGTTTTATATTTACATAATGAAAAATCTGTGTGAGTCAAACTCCAGTATACAATTTTTTTATTTATTTTTAGGAATATATAGTACTATCTAGATAAATTTTAATTTTTTAAACAAAATTTTTTGTATTTAAATTAAAATATAAAGATATAGGGTGATATTATAATTAAGTTATGTAAAATTTGATAGCTTTATAAAGAACGGTCCAAGTAAAACAATTATACATGAAATAACACATGACTTCGTTTTAATAGTATAGATAGATAAATATATAATATATTATTTTTTATATTTGAAATACAATTTTATTTTTTTCTAACATAATCTATTTAAATTTTGTAAATAAATGTTTTCGAAACTCCATTAATTTATATTGTAATTCTCATTAAAATATAAGTAAAAGTATTCTAGATAATTATCAATTTTCATTTATAAATAAAATAATAACTTTTAATGATATTTTGTGATAATTAGAATTTAAATTCAATGATTTAAGGAAATACAATTTAAAAAGATGCCAAAAAGATTTTGTTGGATTTATTTCATTTCTATTTTAAATAGAAAGATAAAGATACTTAAAGATATTATCATTAGATTTGTAACATTTGATAATCTCTCTAAGGAATAGTCCATTTTTTAAAAAATCATACATGAATCAAGATTGTGACTTCTATTTTAATATATAAGATAGATAAATATATAATATATTATTTTTTATATTTGAAATACAATTTTATTTTTTTCTAACATAATCTATTTAAATTTTGTAAATAAATGTTTTCGAAACTCCATTAATTTATATTGTAATTCTCATTAAAATATAAGTAAAAGTATTCTAGATAATTATCAATTTTCATTTATAAATAAAATAATAATTTTTAATGATATTTTGTGATAATTAGAATTTAAATTCAATGATTTAAGGAAATACAATTTAAAAAGATGCCAAAAAGATTTTGTTGGATTTATTTCATTTCTATTTTAAATAGAAAGATAAAGATATTTAAAGATATTATCATTAGATTTGTAACATTTGATAATCTCTCTAAGGAATAGTCCATTTTTAAAAAAATCATACATGAATCAAGATTGTGACTTCTATTTTAATATATAAGATTAGTTTATTATTATGAAATACACATATGATAAACTTTGTCATTGTGGAAGTGCGGATACTATTTAGTTACCTTAATTAATTTTTTAGTATTAATGGAATGGAAGTTTTATTTTGGAAGTTGTGTTTCAATGCGTGGGTGTCATAAATCTGTAGTCCCATTTTCAAAAAAAAGGTTGTGTTTTACGAAAAAATAGTCTCGTGCATGGCCTACCATTCACTGAATATATTTAATTATTCTCACTGGGTACTTTGGATGATTTTAAAGTTGGAAGTATATACCCTAATAAAGATTTATTTATAAAGTCGTAATATGTTTTAATTTATTTGATGAAAGTAATGGTTTCTATAAAATATTTTGCAATAATGTTGTCACCAACTAAACACATTGTATTTTAATTGTATTTTTATCAGTTGGTCAGGAAAATTATGGATGACAATGATTGCGATCTTTGTTTAATGAATTCTCCAGTTTTTTTTTCTTTAACTCTATTGATAGTGATACTAGGGGATTCAATACTCAGGGGATTCAATTCTAACTATTTTCTTTCTCGTCCTACCACAGAATTCATTAATGCAATTTCGTTAACAGATGGGCTTTTCCATATAAGCCTTTGCAAATCTTAATTTCAATCATTCATCTGTTAAAAGAGTCGATAGAAGGTCTATACGAGGTTTCATTAAAAGTTTTATTTTTACAGAATTAGATTTCTAAATTTTCTTGGAGACCTATATCTATATAATTTTGTTGCAAAAACTTTGAGAATCTATTGTCAATATTTCATTTAGCTGACCCCTGTCTGTTGTATAACTATGTGCGTATTTGAATCATGTCAGCTACATAACGTAGAATTATGCTTTAACGAATAAAAGGTCGTTGATCTAGTGGTTTGTTAACCGGTCTAACTTTCTCAGAAAACTTATAAAGCCATACACTCAAATACAAACTTATGCTTTCATTCTTCATATATATTTATAGTGTCCTACATACAACTAAAATTGTTGCATAAAATTGGGATGTCTTAAACGAACGATTCTTTTGTCTATGCTCACACTGGACCTGGTGTTAACCAATATTTTGGTGTTTCTGCATTTAATTTGGGACTCGATTTTAATATAAGGAATTTCCGAATTTATTGGCGACCAACGAAAGTTAAGTGTAGTTGACACACCAAATAAAACTTTGGTATTCTGATTCTTTCTTTTTAATTTAGTACTAGGTATTTTTCTTGCACATCTAGGCATAATTCTTTTTATAGATATTTATTAATAAATTTACTATTAGATTAAAGTAAAAAAACATTGAATTTATACACTTTTATGAATCTTTAATTTTTAAGTTTTAACTTTTATTGATTTAAAATTTTTTATTTTTTTATTTTAAAATACATTGTTATTTTTAACCGGTTTTATTATATTTTTATATATGATTATCTAATTATATAAACAAATATATAATTGTTAATATAAAGTGATGTTATTAAACCAAATTCTTATAATTAGCAAAACCTACAAAATCTAAAAATAAATCAACAGAAGAATGCTAAACCGAACTCAATTTTACATATTATACAATAAATAAATAAAATATTGATATATGGTTGATACCTCCCATAATAACTGAATAAACACTCAAACAAACCAACTATATTGACAAGCAAAATATTAATATGTAATGTATAAAACAAAAACATTTCTTTTCTCTTGTTATTTTCATTTCTAAATGCTATAATATAGAAAAATAAGCTAATCATTCTATATTTTACTTTGAATAGAGATAGTTATTTTCCAATAAAATATTATTTTATTATAAAATCATAATTT